TTTTCTTCCTAGCCCCACTAAATGTAAAAAAAAAATGCAAAAAGTGTTTGAAAAGCTACCTATTTATCTTGGCTTCTCCATATTAGAATAAAACTAGACAAAGTACTTAGCAAACACACACACACAAAAAAGGGTTTACTAAATGATAATTATTTGAAAACCTTACCATGTTGTTCCAAAGTCTTTGAAGGACATTTAGGTCAAATAATTATTCCATTTGCCAAAAAGAACTGTCATAGTTTTAGCCAATTGCAAACATGTTCAGAGTCCAGAAGATATGTTCAAACATACTGTTTACACCAGGTTTTTCAATTAATACCAAGCCAACATAGATGGGTTATTCTTTCACTGTTGAAGTATATTGTGTGGGATAATTTTTTAAAGAAGACTAAGTAAAATGTACTAGCCTACCTGGATTCAAGATATATTTAGATATAGAATTATCAAAACTTACAGATGAATGGAAGGAACCAAGTTTGACTTGAGCAAGTGGGTCAATTGTGGTATTGTACCCTAAAATAGAATGAGGAATGGGATGGGTAGAAATGTCTGTGAGACACTCAAAGAATACAAGAAATCAGTTGGAGACTTCCAAGAAAAAATGGTGCCTGCAATTTCTTTTACACTATTGCCACAAAAAGTAGAATTTAATTATTCTTCCTATGAAGATAGGCAAAATGCATTGAATTGCATCCAGTGAGTCAAGTGGTGGAAATGACTCCACGTAGCTTTCAAGGCCAAGTTTAAGATGGCAAAAAAGCTTCTCCCTGGCTTTCTCCTGGGACATGCACTTTGGGAGCCTGAGCTGTCATATAGGAAGTCTTGCTACCCGATAGCCACCATACTGGAACAACCATGAGGAAAAGCATAAATAGTTACCCACAGATACCCCCACACACTTTACCAGTTTCCAATTCTTCTGAGTTTCCTCAGATATGGAACCCTGCTATGCCTTTCATGGAATCCCTGAGCACACCAAATGGCTGCTTTGTGCCACTGAGTTTTCTGGTTATCCCTATCCAGCTATAGTAACATTGTAACCCTCAGGTACTGACAGAATAAGAAAGCAATTAAAAAAAAAAAAAAAAAAAAGCAATGACAATTTGGAAGGTGGTAAATAAGTGGGTAATTAGTTTAAGTAATGCAGTAACTAACTGCATCATTGTGAGTCATGAGAAACAAACAAAAATTAATTGAACTTACACTACGTAAGAGTTGGTACTAGGTACATCCCTAAGGGTGAAAGGTAGTAGTTGAATTAGTTGGATTCCACTTAAGCAGATCATAAGATCCTCTGTCCAACTGCACATACCTTCTATCCCTTCTTGACCCTTGCTAAATAGTAGGAGTTTTTTTGTTTTGTTTTGTTGTTTTTCCTCTGTGTAGAGGATAAACAAGAGAGATATCAGGCACATCAAAGAAAGTGCTGTGGTGGAGATCTCCCTGTCTTTCCAGAGCCACCTCCATACTTCTGAAGTCCGCTTTGTGCCCAAGGAAATTGCTATGCTAACCATGTCAAAAGACTCCTATGTTCCTCTGGCTTCCAGTAGATTTGGCTAATACAGGGCATCAGCAGTAGATCCCAGGGGAAAAAGAATGAAGGAGGAATGCCGATTCCCTAACTTTCTTCCCTGTGGATCCTGGTAGGCTGGTACTTTCCTTGACCAAATGCTGCAGTTTCTATAAGGTATCTTCATAAGTCCCAATCTGTGTCTGGCACCCTAAGAGATATTACACCAATTTTATGAATGAGAAAACTGAAAACACATACTAATTTCCCGTGACTGTACAGCTAGAAAGTGGCAGGCTGGCTCCAGAGCTTATACTCAGTCCTCAGAATAAAAAGACTACCTGTATGGGCTGGGGTTGTGGCTCAGTGGTAGAGCGCTCGCCTAGCATGTACCAGGCCCTGGGTTTGATCCTCAGCACCACATAAAAATAAATAAAGGTATTGTGCCCAACTACAACTAAAAAATAAATATTTTAAAAAAGGAGCTACCTGTATAGTGGTAGCAAGCATCAGAAACCTTCTTAAGTACTTTAAATAAGAAAGCAAATTTACTGGGGCTGGGGATGTGGCTCAAGCGTAGTGTGCTCACTTGGCATGCTTGCGGCCTGGGTTCGATCCTCAGCACCACATACCAACAAAGATGTTGTGTCCGCTGAGAACTAAAAAATAAATATTAAAAATTCTCTCTCTCTCTCTCTCTCTCTCTCTCCTCTCTATCTCTTTAAAAAAAAAGCAAATTTACTAATCAATATAAGCAAATTATAGAGAGTTAGTATTGTTTACAGAGTTAAATGGATAGAGGGACTTGACCATGTCCTCCCGTCTCTAAGCTATGTTATAACAGTATTGGCCTTATTATCTAAGGCTCTTCCAAATGATAAGAGACATATTACCCTAGGGTAATATAATCTTAGGAGACTATAATTCAAAGAGAAAGAATATTCAAAAACAATGAAACCACAACATTCCTATCAGATCGACTAAAATCCAAAACACTGATAACACTAAATGCTGACAGAAATACTCTCATTCATTGCTAGTGTAAACAAAATGGTACAGCCACATTAGAAGATTATTTGGCAGTTTCTTAAAATAAAACTAAATGTACTCTTAACACATGATCCAGCAATCGAACTCCTTGGTATTTACCCAAATGAGTTGAAAATATGCTCACACAAAAACCTGCACAAACATTTTTTTAATATATTTTTAGTTGGTGATGGATACAATACATTTTTGTTCATTTATTTATACGTGGTGCTGAGGATGGAACCCAGTGCCTCACACAGGCTAGGCAGGTGCTCCACCACTCAGCCACACCTGAGGCCCCACAAACTGTTATATTTATAACAGCTTTATTCATAAGTTGGAAACAATCAAGATGCCTATAGTAGGTGAATGGATAAATTGTGGTATTTCCTTACAATGGAATATTATTCAGTGATACAAAGACATGAGCTATTAAGCCATGAATAAACACAAAACAAACATAAGTGCATATTACTGAGTAAAACGAAGCCAGCCTGAAAAGTCTACATATGGTGATTCCAAATACATGATATCTAAAATATGTAAGACTATTGAGACAGTAAAAAGATCAATGTTTGCCCGGGGTTAGCAGAGAGGTAGGAATAGGCCTTGCACAGATGATGTTTAGGGTAGTGAAATGACTGTATTCTATTAGAAGGTGAGTTCACATCATTTTAAATTTGTAAAAACCTACTGAATGTACACCAAGAATGAACCTAATGAAATCATTTGTCCATGTTAATTCATCGATTGTAACAAATGTGCCACTCTACCAGGGGATGGGGATGGTTGGAGAGGTTGCATGTGGGTGTTGGGAGAATGGTAGGGGAACAATGAACTTTTCACTCAGTTTTGTGGTGGACCTGAAACAGATCTAAAAAATTTTGCAAAGAAAAAAAAGTAATAATGTTCATTGGTTGCAAAAAAAAAACAAAAATTGCAAAGAGAAGGGGTGAGAAAGAATATTCTCTCCTAGTTCCACAAAGTAATCCCCAAAGATTAACTCCAACTGTCTCACTGATGATCCTGTACCCATTCCTGAGATCATAACTTTTTCTTAGAAGAATGGGATATAAACTAGTAGGTGGGGGTCACATACTCATTACTGTGGCTTGGGTGGAAAGGAGTGGGCATATCTCGGTGTTCCATTTAACAGCCTCAACAGAATCCTTCAGTAGGAAAGGAAAAGCTTCCAAAGGAGGAAGGAAAGGGACAGAGGATACAGTTCTAGCTAATTAGATATGAGAAGTCTCCTACATGAGTCTTTCAATAAAGATAATTGTTTCCTAATTAGATAGGAAAATACAACTTGAAATTGCCTTCTTCCCTTCACTTGTCCTCCTATACTGTAGATCTGGGAATAAAGAGAAAAGCTACACACTAAATATGGTAGAATAGAAGACAGGAAGTGAGCCCTATATCCATAATGGCATTGTGGAAGTACCAGCCCCAGACTTACTACCTCTGAGCTTCTAAGAGGAAAACAAAAAATATTTGGTCAAGCCACAGCAGAACACTGATATCTTAAGTGGTACAAGTAGTTAACATCACTTTTATACTATCATGAAATTATAAGTTATATATGCAATAAAAACACAAACTCACCATGTTCCACCTACAACCGATGGTATATATTCAAGATGGCTATTTTTAGGGGTTCACCGACTCCTTTGTGAGAAGCTATTTATTTAATGTTATGAACTAAACTATGATTTTTGACTGGATCACTAATTCTAATCAACTAGATGATTAAATGAGTTAAATGTCATCCCAGCTTGATTTTTTATAAAATTATATATAAGCATGGCTTTATTTAAAAAGTAATTTTATGAATTCCTTCTATTTATTCTCATTTAATCTTTAGTATATAATCAATACACTAACAGTAACAACATTTCTCATTAACCTTTTATTTTAACTTAGTTTACAATAAAGAAACAGAAAATAAGTTGATCATTAAAAAAATACCATAGCTATCAATTTAAAATGAGATTCTTATTAAACAAAGCAATAACACTATACCCTATAATTACATCATTAATTTATATACAAGAATTGTGTGCAAAGTGCTTTTCAAACTATAAAATAAAGACTTTGGAATAAGATACAAATGGTTATCCCTAGCAGTTAATTACCCCTGACTGCTTGTAATGAATCCCAACTTCCTACATTCTTAATTTGCATTTTATTTATTTAAATACTAAGAAAAAAGCCACCATTTTGTTATTTTCATACTTGATATCTAATTTTTTTAAATAATCCCTGATCCACAAGTTTAAACTTTATTTCTACATATAATTCAGTTACTTTCTCCATTTTTTTCTAAATAAGTAGAGGATAGGTTGTTTCTTTTCGTTGTTGTTTTTAAGCAAAGGAAGATCCTTTTAGATACGTTTTAATCTAGATGGATTAAAAACTAAAAAAACATTAAGTTATACGAAAGAAGAAATAAGAACATGAGTTTGGGAAAAGCAAACTGTATTCTCATATTTTTTCTTCAGGCAAATAAAGAACCACTCTGTATATTAAAGTTGAACTAATTTCTTCCCTCTTATTAAAAACACTCTGAACACATGCTAATCCCAACATCTTGGAATACAGAATTCTTCAAAATTATCTGCTACAAAGTCTCTGATTCATAGAAATCTTTAAAGCACAAAGTACATCTAACTAAATGTAGAGTTTTGTAAGGTATACAGGAAGAATGATTTTCCAAATGCAATCTTCAAGGATCTAAATTACAATCTTCCTTTTAGTCTAAAAGGTGAGATGTGGGATAGAGGGACTTGAATTTTCATTGGTTGAGCATGCCTATTCATAAAAAGCATATGGCCTGTTAGCTTGTAAAACCTTCCAATACCCCTAATGAAGTATGTATATCCAAATATTATACCCCCAAGGAAAAACTGAGGCACTAAGAGGTTAAAGAGTCCCGTCTGTATAGTTTACCAGTTGCAGAAAAGTGATATTAATGTGTTTCCTTTTTTACCTTTGTAAAAACAGTATAAATAAGTTTTCATTTTATATTTCAAAGCACCCTATGAAGCATACACTAGATATCCTCAAAGAAAAATAATTACAAAGGAATATATGTATATGATTGAATTAAAATCTTATAGGTTATCTGTAGGCTCAGAATATACTTTTAAATCTATTACATTAAGCCCATTTTTCATAATTTCCATCATCATGTTATGTCTATCTGTAACTCATTTGTAAAAACTAAGGGATATAATTTTTAATAATGATGCCTGACATTTAACTCTGAGATGTGACTACTCAAGAAAGATTATGTGCAGCCCACAAAGTGAATGTAGAGAAGATTCTTCCAGCAGTTTCTACTACTTGGCATGGCAATTCAGTAACTAATATAAAATCCATTTACCCTCATTTGAAACTCATTCTTGGTTTACATTCTTTCTCATATTTAACTTAGAAAATGAAAAATACCCACTTATATAAATCTTATCTTATTATCAGATCTGTACCTTGGGAAGCAGCTTATATTTCTCTATGGAAGATAATCAGGTAAATGTTACCAAACAATAATTTAATGTCCTTCAAGTTCAAGAGTAGGGTACAATATATGTTACTTATAAACTAGTTCAGATTGATTATTCAAGTATCAGCACTATTAGTCCTTAAAATGTTATCATTTGTGTAGTGCAAAAAATATGTATGTATATATGTACACAAACCAAACTACTGGACAACAAAAAAGAAATGTAATCATCACAAATTAAGATTTTTCTTGTGAACTCCACAATCCATTTCATTCTGAGGTCATCCAGGCCCAGCAGTCTTCTTAAGTAAAATATCATTTTCTTCAGTTCAGTTTTCTTTAAAAAGAAAGTAAAAACCAGTTTCCTGTGAGTATAAATGCAACCCAATATGAAATACATCCATATCAAAAATTCTTGGATGATAACATAAAAACATTCAATTTCAAGATAAAACCATAAATTACAAATGATCCTCATGAAACTACTTTGTGTGACTTAGTCCAATAGGAAGGATCTAATTGTAGGCACTGACATTATCAAAAGTTTTTATTTATTTAATTTTTGGTACTGGGGAGTGAACCCAGATGTGCTTTACCACTGAGTCACAACCCTAGTCCTTTTTATTTTCTATTTTGAGACAGGGCTCATTAAGTTGCTTAAGGCCTTCCTAAGTTGCTAAAGCTGATCCCAAACTGGCAATCCTCCTGTCACAGCCTCCTGAGTCTCTGGTATCACAGGCATGCACCACCACACTTGGCTCAAAAGTTTTCAATAAATAAATTTACATTCCTTTTTTCTTCCCTTCTAGAATTTCATCCTTTTCCAATTGGCTACTATACAATCAAGACTTAAGGGAATTATTTCATAATTTTATGAAAATGGAAAGCTGTGAAACCAAAAGCTTAATTAACCCAGACTATTCATTTACTCAACACATACTTGTATTTATTATTTTCCAGACTCTATTCAGGCACCTGGATTCAGACATAAATAAGGCAGTCTCTTATCACTCAAAAGAGCTCAGTTTAGTGACAATGGAGACAGAAACATACAGCTCCCAAACTTGGATAAATATAACACAATAGTTTTAATGATAGCAGAGTGAATGAGCGACTGGGAGAGGGTAGGCTTGTTAGCACAAGACACAACAATCACATATGATTTAAGTTCTACAAAATGTTTCACTGCTGTAAAACCTCCATACCCTCTTGAGCACTCAAGATGCCCGTCTAAAACTCTCATATTAGTCATTCCTCTCTGTAGAAATACTCAGATTTTAAATAATCAGATCACTTTCTTACGATCTGTATAAATTCTTTTATATACACCTTCTTGGCATGAGTGACATTTTCAATAATCAGATCAGTTTTCACCTAACAGGAGTTCCCTGCAGAAGGAAGAAAACAGGTCCCTGGAAGAGGATAAATGAAATGATGGACAAAGACAGATGTGGGCGGTTCTAAAGACAAACTGTCTGAGTGAGGTTCTAGCACAAATGTTAACTGCAGCTGATTTGAACTCATGATTCTCCTGTCTCAGCCTCCCGAGCCACTGGGACTACAGGTGTGCGCCACTGTGCCGGCATTTTTTTTAAACATTTAATGAAGTGGTAGGATAACTATTTTTTTTTTAAATATTTTTTTCAGTTGTAGATGGACACAATATATTTATTTGTTTGTTTATTTTTAAATGTGGTGCTGAGGATGGAACCCAGGGCCTCTCACATGCCAGGCAAGCACTCTACCAATGAGCCACAACCCCAGCCCCAAAAGATAACTATTATTCGAATTTTATTTGA